GTTAGTTACAATATGTGCTGAGTCAGAATCATATTTCATGTGACGTTGTAGGTTCACAGTTGTAACTGACCCTATGTGTCTCTCCCCTAAAGAGACAGCCACTGGATGAGGGTCTACGTGGATCAGGGCCAGGGGTTTAACTGTTCCTTTATATGCCATTTCTCCAATTGAAAATAGCTCCCTTGGGTTGCTAATTGTCCCCACGGGGGAAAAACAGGTGCAAATGGGCACTGTCTTTTCCCCTCTACTGAAACTAAGAGCAGTTCAGGGATGCATTTGTGACTGAGGGAAAGGGGAAAACTGGCACCCCTATTTGATTCATGTTGGGTTCTGTAGGACTACCTTTGGGGGTCAAAAAGTAGGTGGTGAATCCCAGACAAAGAGTTCCAAAGTCACAGGCAATGCTCCCTCTAAGCTATGGAGTCTTGTGAGCAAACATTCTTCTTTGTGAGCTCCTGGCATTAAAGTTGTGAGCGAGCAATTTGGCTAATGCATAAATTAGTTTGCTCTGGAGCCATCCCCTTCCTGAGCTAAGGCAAAAATGTGTGAGCTGGAGGCCAAAAAGCTGTGAGCTAGCTCACACTCACTCAGCTTAGAGGGAACACTGGTCACAGGGAGTCTGATCCTCGCACTTTCCCCTCTAAGCCAGCCAGCCAGCCAATGCTACTGAACGGCACATTTTCTCCTATTCAGACTCAGTATAATAATGCTGTGACGCCCCCTGTCCACTCACACAGAGTGCTGACCATCCGCTGCAACCTCTCTTAGTTAGGTTATGGGTTACACATCGGTCAGGAATCTCAGTGTTCCCTCTAAGCTGAGTTAGTGTGAGCTAGCTCACAGTTTTTTAGCCCCCGGCTCACACATTTTTGCCTTAGCTCAGGAAGGGGATGGCTCCAGAGCAAACTAAATTGTGCATTAGCCAAATTGCTCGCTCACAACTTTAATGCCAGTAGCTCACAAAGTAGAATTTTTGCTCACAAGACTCCACAGCTTAGAGGGAGCATTGGTCAGGATGCCACCCTTCTTATCTTGTCTTTTTAAAAAATATACCATATCTGCAGAAGTGTGCCTTGCACATGGAAGCTCATACCTTGAATAAAACTGTGTTGCTCTTAAAGGTGCCGCTGGACTCAAACTTTGTTCTGCTGCTTCAGACCAACACGACTCTATCCACCGGAATTTAAAATATACAGAGAGTCATGACCAGGGCTATTTAAATGCGAAAAATAAATATTAAACAAAATAAAACATGGGTAAGGTACTTTGGATAAAAGAAACAAAATAAAAGGTTACATACTTGCAGTTACTTTCAGTACTATATGCTAACAGCTACATCTTTCTAACTGTCTTGGCTTCTAGAAGAGAACTTCCTCTCTGGTTCACACAAAGAGCCATAAACCTTGTGAATACATTAATGCTAGATCAAAGCATTTAACTTCATTAGGATAAGCAACTCCCACAAACTTTCCCACCGTAGAATACATTATGTAACGTAACATCCTGTTTCCTAACAAACAACATTTAACTCTGTAATGACTGAAGTGTAAGCAACTTGCAATTCCAGTACCGAAATGTTAAATTGTGTGTATTTCTTTCCCTTAGACACACAGTCCACAGTGTTAATCCAAACAAGAAAGATTTTATTTACAATAGGAACAGAACACTGAGGAAAGTATAAGTAACAATGTTTCACTTCTGTTGAACTTTTGAGCTGGGGTCTTATTCCTGCAACTGGGATCCTTTAGTTACAAATGTACTATTTTCAACCTGCTCTAAGCAGCCCTTCTGCACAGGTCTACTCAGTCAGAAAACCCTTTTTCACCCCAGCCGCTAAGCTGTCCACTTCTCCGCTACTAACCCCTGCCGTTTTTTTAAAGGGCTGTATTGAAAATATCCTCCTCTCAACATTCCATCCACTCTCATTAGTTGCTCTTAGAGAGAGGTGGAACCCAGCCTGTCCATCACAAATGCCAATAAGGAACCGGTCTTTTTCATTTAGTTATTTGGTTAACAATTTGTTGAAAGCCAGGAAGGTGTACAGTGGTTAGCATGCCAGCCTACTGGCCCAGAGACCCTTGTTAAAACAACAACAACAACTTGATATTCAAGTTGAATATCAAGTTGAAAAAATAAATAAATAATAACAACAACTACAATAATGATGCTTTCTATTTATTGATCGCTCTTTCCCACATACCTGCAGGCTCAGAGCGATTTACAGTTACTCTTGAGACAGTTGGACTAACAATATTTGTGGGGATAGGGAATTTTGTAGTATATTATGTAGTGTACACAATTCTCTGTGTAGCCCTTTATGAAGAAGAACATATCCAGCATAGCCTTCCTTCTCTACAACTGTTTTGCTTGGCACAGTATTAAATGTTTCAGATTTGTTTTGCCCTGTGGAATTGTTGCGGCTGCGGGTCATCTCCCCACCCTCCACCCCCACTGACAGATAATTCTGCCTCTTCTAGTTTTGCCTTTTATTCTTGGTTGCCACTGCTACCATCATGCTGTGAAAACTGAGAGGAGTGTGGTGGCGCCTTCAAGAATAACAGAGGCAAACGGCAATCCTAAGGAGGTCTCTTCTGAATTCTATTTGAGTGTATTAAGAACATCCAGAAGAGCCCTGCTGGATCAGACCAGTGAGGGTCCATCTAGTCCAGCATCCTGTCTCACACAGTGGCCAACCCGTTCATCTGGACAGCCGACAACAGGGCATAGAGGCCAAGGCCTTCCCCTGATAAGAACATCAGAAGAGCCTTGCTGGGTCAGAACAATGGTCCATCTAGTCCAGCATCCTGTATCATCCAGTGACCACCCAATTCCTCTGGAGGGCCAACAACAGGGAATTGAGGCTGATGCCTTCCCTTGATGTTGCCTCTTGGCACTGTTATTTGGACTACCTCTGAACAGGGAACCTTTAGTCACCATGGCTACAAGAACATTCGGTTCACTAACTGCTTTCAATCCCCCCTCCCATCCCCGCTGTTAAAGTAAATTGGGGATTCGAATTGTATTACAGCGCCATGTGGGTACTGGGTATTTTTAGAATTGTATTTTTAGACTATGAATTTTGTGTATTTTTGTAGGAATATATTGTACACTCCCCCAGCCTGCTTGCAAGGAGGGCAGTATAAAAGCATAATGAAAGAAAGAAAGAAAGAAAGAAAGAAAGAAAGAAAGAAAGAAAGAAAGAAAGAAAGAAAGCCCCCCATGAATCTTATCTACCTAATCCCCTTTTAAAGCTTTCTTGGCCTGTGGCCATCACAGACAAATTCTCTGGCAGAAGATTCCACATTTTAATCACTTAGTTTGTAAAGAAGTATTTCCTTTTGCCTGTGCTGAAATGGGGATTGCTCCTAGGAAACAGGACTGTGCATTGGTATTAAAGCACCAAAATCTCTTCTGCTGCTGTTACTGTTTCTGCATTTTTATTTTTGGAGAGCTAACATGGATTGTTATTCATTGAGGAAACTGGCAGCCTCCCTTTGGAACCTGCTGGGGCGAGGAGAGAGAAAGCTGCAAGCATTTCAAAAGATATATAAAGGAAGCAGCAAGCAGCCAGGTCTTCGCTCCAAGGCCATTTTGACAGGGGGAAGATAATCCAGGGTGGTTCGGGGAAGCCAGTGAAGTCCTCTCCTTCCTCCAATGAAAGACAGAATGCTCTTATAGTGTTAGGGAAAAAAATAATTCACACAAAAAGAGTATCAGAGGGAAATTACCTACATACCACTTATTCATGGATGCAGTCAGGATAAATGTAGTGTCAGGGGAAAAAACCACAACCAAACCTTTGGTAGTCTTAAAGGTGCCACTGGACTCTAAATTTCTTCTACTTGATTCCCCTGGAACAAGAGCTGCTGCGGTCCAAATTTCTATTCATGGTGAATTACCTGATATGGTCGCTAGGTGGCAGTGAAGGGAAGCATTCGAAAACCCCGCAAAACACCCGCGGAGTTTTCCTAGTAATAACCACATTCTTCCAGAATACGGACGCAGTTTACAGCTGTTACCTAGTCTGTCCCCCCTATCCCCCCTTTCCCGCTTGTCACTTTGCTAGGAAGTGTATATGACACGTTAAGTCACAGTTTCTTTTTCCCCAGTTCGCAACGAAACAACGCGCCGCGAGGCTGTCCTTCCAAACCGTGCAACGACAGATCAGAGAATCTGAGCCCGAGGCGTCGGCGTCTCTCTCTGCCAAAAGCTCATTGTCATCACACCTGGGCATGAGCCGATTATGGTGCGGGAGCTGGCTAGCCAATGGGATATCTCCTCAGCCCGGGGGTGGCCTTTAATAATTCTGACATGTCCCTGCTTTGTGACTAAAGGCGTTCTAAGGTTGCGGGGCTAAGGGGTTTACTTCCAAGTAGACAGTGTAGTGGAAAGTACCGTTTAAGTCGCAGCCGGTTTAAGGCGAGCCCTTGGGGTTTTCCAAGGCAAGAGACTTTCAGGGGTGATTTACCATTGCCTGGCACTACAGAAGGACTTCAGTGGCGGTTTGTCATCTAATTACTAACCAGATCTGACCCTGCTTAGTTTCGGTGATCTGCTGACCCTCGACGGTCTTCCCGTCCAAATGCTGAGCGGGGCCGACCCTGCTTAGCTTCCCAGATCTGACGAGATCAGGCTAGCCGCTATTCTGGGCCATTCGCGTCAGGCCCCCGGTAAGAATACGCTCTTCTAGGATGCACGGGGTCGGCCTTTTAGTCTCCTGGATCCCTAACTGGATCTTTTGTCAGGTGAATCGCCGGGGTTTTATCACTAACCCAAAGGCCGCTTACTCCCTAGCCCTGTTCACTCGCGGCTTTCATCCTGAACCCTTTAAAAAAAGCAAGTCCAGACTTCCCCCCCAAAAAAACCCCACCCCCCACAGTTAAAATAGAATCGATTTCCGGATTGAAAAAAATCTGAAACCTACGCTCCAAAGCCACGCCAGCGATGCTAAAAGAAACTCGCGGGAAAGGGCGGCACAGTATGAAATAAAAAGACGCATTATGTTGTTTATTTGGACTCAGCCGGCTGCTAAGCGACGGGAGCGCACTAGGCGGCTGCGGGGCGGGCCGGCACCGCAGTTCCCTCCGCCCCCCCAGCCGAGAGTATTCGTGACCGGAGCTCTTTACATGAGAAAGTGGGTGGCTCTTAAAAGAGCCTTTTGGGGTTCTGGAGCTTCCTTCCTGAGGAGCGCGGCTCCGCTTACTTGGAACTCGTGTACTTGGTCACGGCCTTGGTGCCCTCGGAGACGGCGTGCTTCGCCAACTCCCCGGGGAGCAGGAGACGCACCGCCGTCTGGATCTCCCGGGAGGTGATGGTGGAGCGCTTGTTGTAATGGGCCAGGCGGGAGGCCTCCCCGGCGATGCGCTCGAAGATGTCGTTGACGAAGGAGTTCATGATGCTCATGGCTTTGGAAGAGATGCCGGTGTCGGGGTGGACCTGCTTGAGGACCTTGTACACGTAGATGGAGTAGCTCTCCTTCCTGCTCTTGCGGCGCTTCTTGTCGCCCTTTTTCTGGGTCTTGGTCACGGCTTTCTTGGAGCCCTTTTTTGGGGCAGGCGCGGACTTGGCTGGCTCAGGCATCCCGACCGAAGGCTTCCTTGCTCACCAGATACGGGGGAAAAAAGCACAAGTGTCGGGAAAGCGAACTCATCCAGCCCCTTTATTTATACTCTCTTTATGCAAATTAAGGTATCCAAAGCGCATCGTCCCTATTGGCTACAAGAGTATTTTGCCTTCATCGTTCCTGTACACGCACATGCAAATAAGAGTACTGTAATCGCCGGGTTCCCATTGGATGGACGCTGTATCTACGCGCTCGATTGGTCGACTTCAGAACTTGCGTCGCTATTGGTTTCGCGCAGCTGGTTTCCAGGCGTTGACCAATCAGAAACCGCACTTCCCTGCGTGAGGAGGGGATAAAAAGCCTGCGCTTCTTATGTTTGCTCTTAATTGCTGTTTTGTTTTTTTCCGGGCGTGTTGCAGAGAAGCTGAGTCAGTGCCGCCATGTCTGGTCGCGGCAAGCAAGGGGGCAAAGCGCGAGCGAAGGCGAAGTCTCGCTCTTCCCGGGCCGGACTCCAGTTCCCTGTAGGCCGCGTCCACCGACTGCTGCGCAAAGGGAATTACGCCGAGCGTGTGGGCGCCGGAGCTCCGGTGTATCTGGCCGCAGTGCTGGAGTACCTGACGGCTGAGATCCTGGAGTTGGCTGGCAACGCCGCCCGGGACAACAAGAAGACTAGAATCATCCCCCGCCATCTGCAGTTGGCAGTTCGCAACGATGAGGAACTGAACAAACTCCTGGGGGGAGTTACCATTGCGCAGGGTGGAGTTCTGCCGAACATTCAAGCGGTCCTGTTGCCCAAGAAAACGGAGAGCCACAAGCCGAAAGGCAAATGAGGGAAGCGATTCCCCTCGACAAAAACATCCGTGTGAAACAAAAGGCTCTTTTAAGAGCCACCCACATTCCCCGAAAAAGGGCTGAAACCGGCAGTTCTGTTTCGTGCGAGCGTCAGGAGGGAAGCTGGGGGTGGGGTTGTTAACAGTCCCCCCCAAATGCGGGGAAGGGGCAGATAGAAATAATTTAAAAAATGCTTACCATTGGGAATTAAAAGTTGAGTTGTCTTAATGCGTTTGCCTTGGCCATAATTCGCGCATTCTCAGTAATCATTGTTTTCCCATTACAGGGGTTGGTTTAAGGCATCCTGCTACTGGTTATGATTTGCAAAAACCCATTTGGTAAACCTGTGTGTGTGAAGGGAGGCTTATGTTGGCCAGTACCAATGCTCCCTCTAAGCTGTGGAGTCTTGTGAGCAAAAATTCTACTTTGTGAGCTCCTGGCATTAAAGTTGTGAGCGAGCCATTTGGCTACTGCATCAGTTAGTTTACTCTGGAGCCATCCTTCCTGAGCTGAGACAAAAAATGTGTGAGTCGGAGGCTAAAAAACTGAGCTAGCTCACACTAACTCGGCTTAGAGGGAACACTGGCCAGTACATAGTACTTAGTTGAATGGGAACGCCACACTCTTTGGGGGTTGCAAGGGACACATAATCTTTGGGAATTGATTTCACAAAGCATGCACATAACCGGCATAGCGAATCAGTTTCGGAGCCGAAGTTGACAGCAGCGGCACGTGTGATTGAAGCAAACAGTCTCATAAAGCCTCCCATTAAAAACCCGTTTAGCCAAGTATAGAACTAGATGTGAAAAATACCCCAGTATGTTTTGCTTCGGTTACATCCACTTAAAAGTGAGATAAATCAGCAGCGCTTGAGCTCTGTATCGACACCTCTCAAATGGGTAAGGGTCTATTTCCTTACCAGCTACCTACGTCAGTGAATTCTTAGAACGATTTCCACACTCAAAGGATACAGGTTAACCTCGTAACGCGAAGCAAGAGACAGCTCTTTTCTTGGAGAAGTGGGTGGCCCTTAAAAGGGCCGTTGGATTTTGTTATGTTGCAATTAAGGGTTTAACCCCCGAAGCCGTAGAGAGTGCGGCCCTGGCGTTTCAGAGCGTAGACCACATCCATGGCGGTCACGGTCTTCCTCTTGGCATGCTCGGTGTAGGTGACGGCATCCCGGATGACGTTCTCCAGGAAAACTTTGAGCACCCCGCGAGTCTCCTCGTAGATCAGCCCGGAGATACGCTTCACACCCCCACGCCGAGCCAAGCGGCGGATGGCCGGCTTAGTGATGCCCTGGATGTTATCGCGCAGAACTTTACGGTGGCGCTTAGCGCCGCCTTTGCCAAGACCCTTTCCGCCTTTGCCGCGACCAGACATCTTCACAACCTTTTCACTACGTCTCACAAATGTGCTCACGACGGCTCAGCGTGCATTTATATTGCCTGATGTCCGACCAGAAGGAAAACTGCGAGAGTGATGCGATGGGGGCGGGGAGAACATCGAGGGCCTGCCCATCTATGACGCCAAAAGGCGGAGGGAAGGAGCTTCGTCCAGTGAAACGTAGAGGCTGTTTCAAAAAGAGCAATGGCCATGCTTGCCGCAATTGAATTTTGAAAGCGAGAATGTTGGCGCCTTTTCTCTCCCCCACCGGCCGCTGCTAGTTTGGCGTTTCAGTTGCTCTAGATAAGAACAGCTAGACGTGAGTGCTTGATTACAACGAAATTAACTCTGAAAAACGCCATGTAATCATTCCGCTACCGAATTGTAAAGGCGATTTTATTGGGAATAACTTGCTTTGCATCTGTCTTGAAACTGCATAGGGGAACACTAGATTTTTTTTTGGGGGGGGTCTGTCTTGTTAGTTTTGGAAATCAGTCCTGTGGATGGACTGAGTCAGATTTTACAGACCAGATTCACTGAGTATGCGGTGATTAGATTCTGGGGGATCCAATACACAACCATTACTCACATAATGAAAAAATAATATTGCAGTTTGAAATAGATTTGAAGTATAGACACCCTGAAGTGTATTTAAAAAGGTAAAGGTTCCCTTGTTCGAAAGCCAGTCGAATCTGACTAGGGTTGTGGTGCTCATCTCCGTTTCAAAGCCGAAGAGCCAGCGCTGTCCGAAGACGTTTCCGTGCTCGTGTGGCCGGCATGACTAAACACCAAGGCGCACGGAACGCTGTTACCTTCCCACCAAAGTGGTACCTATTTATCTACTTGCAATTTTTTGCTTTTGAACTGCTAGGTTGGCAGGAGCTGGAACTAGAGACAGGAGCTCAGTCAAGCGGCACACCCCGGTCTCGAACTGCTGAACTACCGACCTTCCACAGCCTGCAGTTCAGCATAACTTGTAGGTAGAGCTTTTAGATGCAGAAGATTATAACATCGGTCCACGGAACCTTTGCCAACGTGGGTGTGTAAGAAAAGTCATACTGGATCAGACCAGCAGTCCATCCAGTCCAGCATCACAAGGCCGAAGCTGGTTCCCAGTTCCTGAGTAATTTCCTAGCTCCTAATGGGTGAATCCAGTCACAAACATTGAGGATAATCTAAAAGCTTTGAACCCCAAAATAAAGTTTGCTCCACCACACATGGTACACCCCCACATTCAGGGCACTCTGTCCCCCAAGGGGACATAAGCTGTTTCAGAGGTGATTTACCATTGCCTGGCACTAAAGAAGGACTTCATACTGAGTGGAGCAGTTCACATCCTGAGCATAATAGAACTGCTGTAAGAGAGCCAGTTTGGTGTAGTGCTTAAGTGCATAGACTCTAATCTGGGAGAACCGGGTTTGATTCCCCACTCCTCCACTTGCAGCTGCTGGATGACCTTGGGCAAGCCATAGTTCTGTCAGAGCTGTCCTTGAAAGGGCAGTTCTGGAAAGAGCTCTCTCAGCCCCACCTACCTCACAGGGTGTCTGTTGTGGGGAGGGGAAGGGAAAGGAGTTTGTAAGCCGCTCTGAGTGAAGGGCAGAGTATACATCCAATCTCTTCTCTTCTTCTAGAATGGGTAGTGGGGAGTGCAAGACCTTGCATGGCTCCAGATTGCTGCTGAGCGGGGCTTCTTGTGTTAATGAGCGTCCTTTCACATGCAAACAGCTTAGAGGGAATGCTGCTCTTGAATAATTTGGTTTTGCCTGGTTTGCAGAAGGCCAGGAGCCCTAAGACTCCTGCATATTTCACATGCCCACTTTATTGCCACATCCTCTTAGAATACTATTACAGCACCTAACAACACCAGTTGTACCATTAGAACTCATTTGTTTGTTTGTTCATCCCCCAACACGATAGATGCAAATGATTGTCAACAATGTCCTCTTGTTGTCTGCATAGGACAAAGGAATCTGAGTCTTTGGAAAAGAAGAAGAAGAGAAAAGATTGGATTTATACCCCGCCCTTCACTACCGGAAGGAGCTTCAGAGCGGCTTACAATCTCCTTTCACTTCCCCTCCCCATAACAGACACCCTGTGAGGTAGGTGGGGCTGAGAGAGCTCTGACAGAAACTGCTCCTGAGAGAACAGCTCTGAGAGAACTTGTGACTGACCCAAGGTCACACCAGCAGCTGCATGTGGAGGAGTGGGGAATCAAACCCGGTTCTCCCAGATTAGAGTCCGTGCTCCTAACCACTACACCACTACACCAAACTACACCAAACTAAGTGGTCATTATATCTGACCTCAAAAACAACATCAGCCAGAACACCTTTTCGACAGAAAATTTCAGTCTCCAAGGTCCCTCGGCTGCCGACCTGAGAAGACCCCCTTCTCCAACAAAACAAATCCAGACAGCAAGTCTCCTGTGAAGCTGTTAAGGATTCACTGAGAAGCCCGAGTTCACTAGAAACAGTGTACACATAACACAGCTGGGGATTGTTGCAGCAAATCCTTCCCCTTGCAGAAGACTAGTTTATAGAAAGAAACAGTGTAACAGCACCCTTTCCCTAATTCTAGAGTTTGCTGAAGTCTGTTACAATCCAATGCAACGGAACCTTAAAAGTGATAGGATTTGTTGAAATATAAACCCCATCCCATTGAGTCCCAGGCACCTAACGAACTGGGCTTTAGTCCAAGAAGTTTTATACAATTCAAAATTCTGAAGTGCACCCAGGGCTATTTTCCCTCTCCCTAATATACTGCTCTGGAAGGAAAGAGGCATGGTATAGCCCATGGGTCCTCAACCTTTTTGAGCCCATGGGCAACTTGTGGAATCCCATGGTGGGCACAGCCACAAAAAATATGCCACAAACTGACTGCCACAGGTGACAGAGCCAGTCACGAAATGGACTGCTGCAGCTTACCTTCTTCTATCATATAGTGCAGGGTCCTTGTGCTGTGGTGGCAACGGCTGCCAAAGCGACATTTAAAAATAACCTACACAATCACATCTCTAATGGCCAATCAGAAGCTCTCCTGGACAAAAGCCTCCTCCATTTTCTAAAAAAACCCCAATTGGCAGGCACCAGAAAAGGTGGGGGTGGGTGCCCTGGAACTCACAGGCATCATGCTGGGGACCCCCAGGATAGCTCAACCACGTCAGATGCTGGGAACCGATCAGGATCAGGACTTGACCACCAAGGAAGACTCTGCAAAGGAAGGCAATGGCAAACCACCTCTGCTTCTGGCTTGCCTTTGAAAGTCCCTTATAGGGGATGGATGCCATAAGCCAATTGGCACTTCACAGTATGTAATGCGCTCTTTGTATACAGAACTGAGCCCCATAACTCATCTCTCACCAGGGTTGGCAACAACCTGGAGGGAACACAGCCTGTCCTTTTAACGGAAGCGTCATGTTTGAAAATAGGCAGGGGAGCGCTTTTCGCGCTTGGAGGTAAATATCATCACCTGGTCAATAACATCCCATTAATACGATATTAAAGGGACAGGACACCTCCCCCCCCCAGGTAGCTGGCAACCCCCCCTCCCTTTTCACGGCACATGCGACCTGATCCTTACAACTACAGGCTTGGACGTGGGATTCTTGTGTGTGATAATAAAGCAGCATCAATCCAAAGACCGCTCACTACTGTCACCAAAGACATATTTACGTGTCACAACACTTATAACTGCATTTAGTGCAACAAAAAATGGCATTCAGTGGCAGAGCTCGCAGAAGCACGGCAAGCTGTGTCTCTTGGCGAGCCGGCACTCCTTCTTTAGCAAATCGCCTTCAACCCACGCCCCCGCGGCCAGGAAACGGATAACAACGCGGGGAGAACAAAAGGGCTCACAGCATCAGCCGGTTCTCATATGCAAATAAAGGTAGCTAGAATCCATTTTCTCTATTGGTTCGAGCGCCTTCTAACGTTGCTAACATCATGCAAATCATAGGGACTGTGAGGCTCCCCGTCGCCATTGGATGACCACAACACCCTCGCTTTCAGTTGGCGGGGCTGAGAAAAGCTATTTTCTGATTGGTTGTCAAGAGACACAGTCCAAATACAACCAATCAGAAGTGAGATTTTTAGTAGCTGGTAGAGTAAAAAAGAACATAAGAACATAAGAGAAGCCAATGTTGGATCAGGCCAATGGCCCATCCAGTCCAACACTCTGTCACACAGTGGCCAAAAATACCAGGTGCCATCAGGAGGTCCAGCAGTGGGGCCAGGACACTAGAAACCCTCCCACTGTTGCCCCCCCCCCCAGCCCCGAGAATACTGAGCATCACTTGCCCCAGAGTCCCTATCTATACCTTGTGGCTAATAGCCACCGATGGACGTCTGCTCCATATGCTTATCTAATTCCCTCTTGAAGCCCTCCATGCTTGTAGCCGCCACCAGTTCCTGTGGCAGTGAATTCCATGTGTTAATCACCCTTTGGGTTAAGATGTAATTCCTTTTATCCATTCTAAACAAACCGCTCAGCAGTTTCATGGAGTGCCCACGAGTTCTTGTATTGTGAGAATGGGAGAAAAGTACCTCTTTCTCTACCTGCTCTATCCCATGCATAATCTTATAAACCTCATAATCTTATAAACTTGCATTTTATTTGCCACAGCCTGTATTCCCTTTTATCAGCCTCACTGAGACTAGCTTTCCACCACTTAAAGGAATCCTTTTTACCTTTTACAGCTTCCATGACTTTGTTTGTTAACCATGGAGGCTTTTTTGTATACCTATTTGTGCCTTTCCTAACCTGCTGTATTTATTTTTTCTGAGCTTCTAGGATTGTAGTTTTAAATAGTTTCCAAGGTTCCCCAGTGGTTTTGACCCTTTCTACTTTCTACTAGGTTCGAGACCAGGGTGCCGCATGACGGAGTGAGCTCCCGTCTCTAGTTCCAGCTCCTGCCAACCTAGCAGTTCGAAAGCAAGAAATTGCAAGTAGATAAATAGGTACCACTTTCAGTTTCTTCCTCACATGTCCCCTCATATCAGAGAAGTTACCCCTTTT